TGTAGCAGGCAAAGTTAGACTTTATGATTTTTGTTAGTAGCAACACAAATTGGAAAATGTGACTCAGCGGTTTCATAACTGATCTGGTGATAAATGTGTTGTCCAACAATATTCACAGCTGAGCATCAGCTTACATCTACTTCAGGTTCCTGTCTCTTAGCCATGAAAGTCTTCATCTTCGAAAAATGTGGTGATAAAAACAAAGATGAAAAAGATAAAAGAAGATTTGTAAATACCTCAGATGTGCGTGGTTTGACTGCAGTGGTTCCCTTCAGTTGTGTGGTGCAGATGGAGGAAACATCCACAGCACACCGACCGTTAGTGAACAGGATGCAGCTGGCACACAGCATCACGGGGCAGATGGTGGAGGAACACTAAGCAACAGGGCTGATGGGAAATGTGGTCCTTAATCAGAGAGAGGAGGACTCAGAATACAGCGAAGGCTGCAGGCTGTTTACAAACCCACCAACAATAAGATGCATAAAACAGAATCATGTCGAACGTTTCCAGGTGTAAGCGATGATTAATAGTCTTTGAAGGATCAAAGCTAACCCTAAGCTGTTTGCTGACATGGAAACAGCAAGTCCTCTCCACCCCACCCCAACCACCATCTTTACTGAGTGCCAGTAGCTTGCTATACATTTGCTCCTGACCTGTGCCAAGACAAAGGCTTACAGGTCACTAATGTTAGGCACTGCTGAGGGATAAAGGTCTTTAATAAGCCTCACAGTAGATATTTTAGGCTTAATGGATGAGGGAAGGAAACAGAGTGGGAATACACAAATACCTGCGGCATCGGTCCAAAAAGGGAAGCACGTGTGACATTACGTGTGCTCCCATCCACCTGTTTAAGGCACATTTTAGTCATGATGGAACACGTCCTAAATTTCACAATAAGAATTCAGTTTTTCTCCTTTGTAAATGGGTGAAGATGATGGAAAAGTCCTTTAGCAGCAAAAACCCAAATCGGACACTTCCTGTAGCATTTTGAGATTTGCACAATGATAAGAAGGAAATAACTCCAGAGTCGCTCTGTTCATTGTGTGTCTGCTTGAACAGCTGTCTTTGGGTCATGAACAGCACCTCAGCTGGGCTTTCACAGCGATTACTGTCGACAGAGCTGAGCCGTCCGACTTCCCGATACTGAAGCTGTCCGTGAGATCAGCTCCGAGTGCCGGGAAGCTGTTCCTCAGTGAACTGGAGGAAGCTCACTTTGTATTTGTGACGTCTGATTTTAAATGAAACAGCACTTCTGTCCTTCAGTTTTCCTTAAAAGGAAGCAAATGAAAACATCAGCATTGTGCTAAAGTGTGCTGATTGGCTGGTTTAGGATTGAGGCCGTGCTCCATGGCGATGGCGCTCATTTCCAAACAATAACTGTAGAAGCGTAGTTACAGCGTCAGTCACACAGGTGACTTCCTGTGATCGTTTGCATGAAGGACGCCGTCCTGTCTGCTGACACGAGCGACAGCACGTCCAGGCCTGAAACTCAAAGCTCGAAGAATATCTGTGCAAAGACGTGGACTACAGAGGGAAAACTGAAAATATGGTGGACGCACGATAAAGAGGGAAAACAGACACGCAGGGAAGGTAAACGAGAGGAAAAGCAGTTACTGAAAACTCTAAAAACACGAGTTTTTCCAAGAAAAATATGAAATTGCTGGTTGGTCGATTTAATTGTTGACTATCTTCTACTCTACAGATGAGTGGGCGTGTCCAAACTCAGGTGTTGATTTAACCAATGGAAATGAGGAAAAAGAAGAAAGGAAGGAGAAACTGACCTGTTAGTTTTATAGAAAGTGAGAGAAAATATTGATGAAGATGATGAGCTGAGCTTTAACAGCAGCGCTGTGGATTCATACTCATGAAGAACCTTTGTGATTATTTTCCAGAGAGGTGCAAAGTTTGGCCTCTACGTCCAGTTATTGTTCATTATTTCACTGAAATAAAAATATAAATAAACATCTAAATATGATTTCACTAAATGTCTATTCTTGGATGTGTCTTTAGTCACAAAGTGAGATAAACACCCCTCCACCCTCAGGTCACAGCTCAATTAACTTGTAGGTTCATTTCTAATAGATCCATATTTATATATGATCTACTATAGATAGGTAGGTAGATACAACTTGACTAAAGGCGGCAGCTCTATTGCTGGAAAAACAAACTTAAAAACATAAATACATGAATACTAAAGAAACAAATGAAACATGAACGAGAACTAAAAAATCTGGTCAGTAGTGACTGGACTTGACCGGACTGGAGAACATGGACCTACACACAGCAACGTGGAGGAAGCAGCAACAAACAGGGGAAGACTGAGGACTTAAATACACCGCAGGGTAACGAGAGGAACAGGAAACACAGCTGGGAGTAATCAGACATTTCGAGACAAAAGGAAGCAAAACTGAACACAGCAGGACGCGAGACTGTCAAAGTAAAACATGACGCATGCACAGAGACACAGACGCTGAGACATGACTGACTGCATATGAAACACTGGGAGGACACAGGGACTGAAAACTAGAAGCTAAAAACAACAAACATGAACAGAAAACCATCACGACAACTAAAACCATGAATAACAACAATCAAGGAATAAACACACAGAAAACACTGGATCACAGCCCCAGTGCCGTGACTGGGATCATCGGACTGGTCAGTCCTGATCCTGGTCTGTTTGTGGCTCACTGAAGGCTGTAGTTCATCACGTGTGTGCTGATTTCTCTTCATATTTCTTATTGCTCACACGGACTTTGCTTTCTAGCACTCTGATATGTTTTAAAAACAACTAAACATTCCTTTAATACATTTGTTTTGTGTAAAATCAGGATATTGTTAATTTTCCTATGCATTGATTAACTGAGGTCACCAACCTGCAAGTTGCTTTTAAACTAAGTTAAAATCGGACTAACAGACGTTCTGTTATTTCTGTCCGTGCCGGGGCTCGAACCGGCAACCTTCCGAATACAAGACGAACTGCCAACTCTTGAGTGAGTCTGATAGCACCCAGGCTCTGTGTGCTCAGTAAAGTGTGTTTGATTATAAAGACCACGCAGATGAAGCTCAGATCAAACTTCCTATAAAAAACTCTCAGACTTTTGCTTTTACGTGTGCACGAGCGTCAGCGGGCCTTCAGGGGTCGCACGCCTGGAAACACCAACAGTAAAAATATCCCTTTGTTTACGGTGAGTCGGTGTAACCGGACCTATCGCTCAGAAGCTCGCCGCATTAGCGCAGCTCTGAGGGAACATCGTATTTTCTGTTTACTCATTAACCTGCAGACTGGCCGGACTCCAGCACACAGGCTCACAGGTCAGCCAGGTTAGAGCCTCCTGAGATATGCTGCCTGATAACAGGAGGCTTTACTGCCCAGCTTAATCCTGTGTACCAACATTAAGAGCTGTGTTTGGCCACAGAGTCCACAGCCAACAGCTGCATTAACACTGCGTGACTCGAGGGGATGAGTCGTATTTTTGTTCGTTTATGGAGGATGGCGTGATGTTTTGTGCTGGCGGCGTGCGGCAGAAACAGGAAGTCGGCCCGTGTAAACACCTAGAATCTTTTTTTTCTTAAGATGAGCTCAGGGGCAGATTTGGTCACAAATAACTTTTTTTCCCCACCAACTAAATCTTCCAATGGAAACAGGATTGGAAACATTTGTTTAGCCTAGCTTAGCATAAACCCCAGCAGCACAGGGGAACGCAGCGACTGATTAAGTCTGATATCTGAGTGAACGTCACACTAATAATGTCCCGATATAACAAACTATTCAAACACCTTCATACCCTGAAGTTTATCTGGTAATTATGTTAAACCACTGCTGGTGACAAAACATGCAGTTCCTCTGACGTCCACTGGAGGCTCCAGCAGTGAGTCAGCCCCACAAAGCCCCATGTTAGCAGAAATAAACATGTCGGGCCTTCTGGAGCATTTTAATGACATCATCTGACCAATAATATGGCTGCAGTGACGTCACTGCACTAACAGAACATCCAAGACTCTGAGCCCAGTTTCCTGAGTGAAATATGAGGATTTTATTTGAATGTTACTCGGCACTAATTCTGTCACTTTAATGTTCTTACACAGTTTATAGATGCAGCTTGTTAGCTAACATACCTAGCATTAGCTCGTGATGTTGTGGATCCAAAATGTAGACACAGAAAACAGGTGGGATTTTAAAAAGGCAGGAGTTTAATGAGGCTGAGGGTAATCAGGGAAGTGAAGGAAGACAACGGGAAGGAAACTAAAAGTAAGGCACTACTAACTATCAAAATAAAGCAGGAAGTGAGAAGTCGCAGACACACAAATGAACTTAATACAGGAGGATTCAGTGTTGCCAACTTAGCGACTTTGTCGCTATATTTAGCAAGTTTTCAGACCCCTCAGCGATTTTTTTTCTGAAAAGCGACTAGCGACAAATCTGGCGACTTTTTCTGGTGTTCTTAGAGACTTATTTATGACGACTTTTTGACATAAAAGCACGTATCGCTCTTACTCTTAACAAGCAGCGGTGCTGCCGTGGGCACCTCACCCGCGCCAAAGCGCTCACGGGCGGAGGATAGTCCTCCCCCGCTGCTATCAGGGCAGGAGACGTTCACACCTGTGCGTCCAAACTGCAAATGAATCGCGCATGAGCGAAGCCGCTGCTCCGCACTGACTGTAACGCAGGCAGTTCTTCTTTTACTCTTATGCGGTTTTGTGGATCACAAGGTTTAAAACTACTTATAAACACACACACAAAGTAACTCCACCATTTCGGGTCACTTTTGCGGGTCCAAGCCCGGGTAAAGGAGCAGGGTTGGAACAAAAAAACAAAAACAACAATCGCTAAAAGAAATTTAATTTGTAGTTCTAAATAAATTCTAAATGCATTTAGGAAGTTTTTTACTCACTTTATGTCTCTTTCACAATGTTATTTCTCTCTCCGACAACGTAGGTTACAATTACATTAGCATAACCAATTATGCAAATTAGGCGATGACGTCATTTAGCGACTTCTAGCGACTTGCAGGACAGCCAATAGCGATTTTCCTTACTGAGGAGTTGGCAACACTGGGAGGATTAAACACCGAGGGAAGAACTAAACTCAACCAGGAACTAAGAACGGACTAAAGTCTAAATACACGATAAAAGGAGACTACATGATGAAAATATGAGCAATGATCAAACCAAGAATCAAAATATCTAAATAAACAAAAATAGAAAGTCCAAAAACTCTGGGTCAAACAATCCAGGAGCGTGACACTGAGGGGATTCTCCAAGGTAAAGTATCAGATAAATATGGCTCATTTTAAACTGTGAATCATGCAAAGCTGCTCTGGATGTGGAAATGAGCAGCTGCCTTCTTCAAAATCCAAAGTACAGCAAAGGAATCTGCTTCATGAAAACGGGGAGAAAAGAATGACGACCGAGCACTGACTTACAGACATCGTTGACTCTGCAGCGTGACGCAGGCAGCAGAGTTTACATGTCAGTGACTGTGACAGCGCCGTTTAGACAACACAAAGGAAACTGCACCAAACTTCCCGTTTAAACCTTGGCAGAGAAGAAAGTAGTGATTAGGATCTCACAGGCATTTCCTCCACAGCCAACCATATACTTGGCACAAGGGAAAACCCGAGCAGGCCAAATCCCTGGTGTGCTTGATGACATGTGATGTAATTGAGGTAACGACACGGCGTGGGAAGCGCGAGGAGGTCTTTGTGGGTCTGTATGAGAGCGGGAGGGGAGCAGCGGGAGAGGACATGGACGAGAAGAACAAGGAGAAGAGGAGGAGGAGGAGAAAGGGGGTCCTGCTGGCTGGCTACCTCGACCTCTCCTCGGGGGTGGGGTGAAGAGGTTAAACAAACAGGTCATCGCGGCGGTGTCGGTCCTCGTCCGCAGGCGTCAGCGGGCATCCCAACTGCCACTCGGCGGCCTGTTGTTGTAGGAGCCGCCGTTCCTCCCTCCATCAGCACCACATGAACATGGAGCAAACGTTTCAGCGCGGTGGGCGTGGCCCGTTCTGCCACCTCGGATGGTTACTGTTGTTCTTTTAGTCGGAACATTTCGTTTCCAGGAAACTTGAAACACAAGATGTTTTTAAAAATGACCAATTAAATCAGTGTCGATGACCTCAGAGGAGGAGTGTGCTTCTGTTCTCACCCAGCACAGCAGCAGTACTAACAGCTGTAGTGTTTGTAAGCAGCAGGTCACAGACGTTTGAGCGTCTGCACCGTGAATCCAAGCATAATACATGATTTATAAAGCAGCTGTAAAAACAAACACGTCAAACACCAAAACCTTCGTCCTGCTGCTTTGTGAGCAGCTAAACTTGGTTATGTAGTTGTTTGTTTGTTTGTATCTGTTTTTATTTTAATTACAAACCCATAAACATTTTATTGATAAAGTTAAAGGCTGAAGAATCAATAACTCTCTTTAAATATTGTTTGACATTTTATACAAAGCACACGGTTTAATATTTTAATGAAGGAAGAACTTTAGATATGCAACAATCAATAAATGTATTTATTCATATTTACTTTGTTATTTTAATTGAAGCACTTTGATGAACTTTTGCTACATTAATGATGAATTTTACATATTGAAGATTTCACATGACATTCTCTCATGACATGATGACGTCACCCAAACTTCATCCTGTTATCCCTACAGTGTCGGCGTCTGCTCCGATGTGCTATTTTTATAGCGGCTTATTTCGGTAACTTTATCGATAATCAGCTGGACCGTTCCACACATCGAGCTCCACACACAGTGTCACGGTCCCTGGGTGGGTTTGTGATTCTGTTTTGAGGATAATTTACGTTTGTATCCCACTTTGGCTTCAGCGTGTCTGGGTTGTTCAGTCTTTAGTTTTCCTTTTGTGTTTGCAAGCCTCATTTATCTTCTGACACTTTGTATTACTTCGTGTTAGTTACAGTTACTTTCTGTTAGTTTCCTGTTGTGTTTTGTGTCCTTCGGTGTCTCCTGTGTCACGTTTCTCCTGTTTTACTTCCTGTTTTATTTTGATCTTGTTTAACTTCCCACTGTTTAGCAAAGTTGTCTCCGTATAGCTTTTGTATATATTGTCTCAGTCCTCCTTTGTCCTTTGCCGTGTTGTCTCTCTAAGCTGTGTTCCTTCAGTCTGATTTCCCAGTTTCCTAGTATTCTTAGAGTTCTCAGATTTAACTCCATGTCTCGCTCCTTGGACTTTTTTCTCCCGATCAGCGTTAACGATCGTTTGAGTTTGACACGTGGGTCGTGCGGTTGGGTCTCTAAGGTGCTCCCACACATCTCAATATGACAGCGAAATGCTGCTGCTTCTCTGGGCCTGAGCGGAGAACTGTCCTGTGATTTGACCAATCAAAGAGTTGTTTTGATACTATCAGACAGAAACCTGGTGAAAGCTCTGTTGTCCTGTAAGTGTAAAGACATATTCAGGGTCTGTACTCCTGGCAGCATGATTGATTCTGTTTTTCGATTTTGTGGTTTTTGTGATAAAGCCCACAGATCACAAAGACTCGTGTCCCCTCTGAAGTCAGTGCACCACCATAAAAAGAGACTTTCTATGCTTGTGACTCAGGCAAAGCCTCATGTGGAAAGACGGTGATACATGGTTGTGTGACAGCCAGTTAATCAACACATCGGCTCTTTAATAATATAAGATTGTGTAAGTGAACTGAAGCATTGCAGGTCTGACTTTTCCGGTGCTACCCACATGGATTATTTCACCTCCCAGTTCAGGTTTTTCTTCTTCTGTGACCTGAGAACGAGGTGCGCCAACATCGCCGCAGCAGAGGTTGAAAGCAGGATTGCAGAGCGTGTGAAATGTGAGATGGAAGCAGAGTTTTTAAATGTACGTCGGTGCTACGCTACACTGACCGGACCAACTTTGCTAATGGTCTCTCTGGCTTCTGGCCAATGCTGTTCCCCCCAGTAATCTCCTACTTTTCCCACTTTGCTCTTTAGTTTCGTTACTCTCCAGTGCAAGGCGTTCAGCCTGACCTCTGCCACCTGTCCTTTCATTCCTCCTTTTCCCGTCTTTCTGTCAGTTTAACTTCATCTACCCGCCTTTTTTTGGTCGTTTTCTGAGCACTGCACTGCATTAAGTTTGACCTTTTGTCTCTTTTCTCATGTCCATCAGGTTCCTCTCTGTGTTCTTTCTTTGTCCATGTCTTCCTTTGTGTAATTGGGTCTGTTCGTCTCTATGCTGCCTGAATGGAGGAGAGGTTTAACTCCTCCTGGATTAGGGACCCCTGTGGTGAAGTGAAGGCATGAAAGACAGAGGAGAGGACACGCTGATGCTGACATTCATGGGTTTGTCCTTTGGCTCATCTGAAGCCTCAGAAGATTTACTAAAAGTCACAAAATCATTTCTTGACATGTCAAGAACCAGTCCGAAGAGATGGGAACAACCCAAAGCCCGGATTCAGACTTCCACTTGAAAGATGGAGTAAAACGTGGGAGCGGGAATGTTCTGAGTTAGATCACAGCGTTCAGTGTTTTTCTTTGTTCCACTTAGTGCTGAGGGTTCAGCTCTCCTCAGTGGTTTCAGTAGTAAATCTGACCTCTGAGATGAAAGCCTCGCTGTCCTCGTCCAGTGGTCATGATAACTGTCAGGAATTTGTCCCGGGCGGGGCGGCGGTCACGCCTGGTCAAACCTCTTTGCTGGTCTTTCTCCTTCCTCTGTCACCGGGCTCACTGAGCCGTCTCACCAACACGAGCTGTTAAAGGCAGAAAATCAGCCCAAATTAAGATTTACTCCTCCAGCATCAGCTGTCAGGAGGTCAAACTGCAGATCTGATGCTAATAAGCTTAGCTTTTTCATTAAATGCAGATCAAATAAAATTTAGTTTGACTTCACACTCACTCATGCACAGAGATCGTACTGCCAGGGCTGGGGCCCAATGAAGTACAAAGAAGGCCTCTGGCATGAACATGTGTACTTCTATCAGGAAGATTTGGTAAAAGACCCGAACATCATCTTTGCAAACATCACCCTGCACAAGGTTTCCAGTCTCAGCAGACTCGACTGCCGGACTCTCTCAGGAAGAGACACAACAAGCGACTCTTATCGCTCGATAAAGACGTGGTAGCAAATACTAAGTCTGAATAAAGCCAAACAGTAAGACGCTCATTTGCATCCAGAACTAGTTTAGAGATACTGAACGTGCAGTTTGGCCAAAAACCTGCAGGTCCTCT